GGGGGGGGGGGGCAAGGGGGGTCTCGTCACAAAATCACGAAGATCATTTTTAGATTTCACGAGTCACGAAAAACAAAATTTCATTTTCACAATTTTTAGAAACACAGAAGCGTATAAACAAAGTCTGAAACTATTTAACGATTTTCTAGACGGCAGAAATCGATGTTAACACAAACACATTTTACTGACTTTAACATTAGAGCTTTTAAAGGACTATCAATCATTGCAAGGCATTACGAAACATTACGAGCGTCTTACGATGGTTCACGAAGAGGTACGAAGGTATACGAGAATGACGTTTACAATGAAATGAAGAAACCTCAAGAAAGACAACCGCGGGAAGCAAATTTATTATTTTTCTTAACGTTAATATTAAATTTAGGCCGAGTTTTAAACGTAAACATTCACAAGTTAGGGTAAAATATTGGTAAATTCAAGACCCTAGTTAGCCCATTTAGCTCTTCACGATTCACGGCACGCATATTAATCACGATTCACAGAATGTTATTTCTTCAAATCACGAAGCACGAATAATTGCTAATCACGGGTCACGAAAATACCCTTGCCGCCCCTCAGCTTTCGTCGGTAGGGATGCAACTACCTGAAAATATATATGGAGAATTTCGACGTTTCGAGTTACTGCAGATGAAGGGCCTTCGCTCGAAACGTCGGAATTCTCCATATATATCTTCAGGTAGTTGCATTCCTACCAACAAAAGCTTGTTCATTTTATTGTCACAACCTACATTGGCAAAGACAGTTCAGTATGATGACACTCTTATAAGTTGCATTGCATATTTTTTGCTGTCTAAATGCCAGGCAATTTTACTTGTTATTAAGGGGAGAATGCTCAATCGGATAAGCAATATGAAACTTTGACTATCACAAAATATATACCTCGCTCGCATCTTTTGCCCACTTTCCCTTCTCCGCTGCTTTGGCTGCTTCTTCCATATCAATCAGCTTGCCTTGGTCGCTAGATAGAGATATAATAGAGCTTGTGAAACTCATTAACTCATCGGGTTAATCCAACTATCTGCCCATGTCTCTAGTTAACCCACCAAGTTGCATTGCGCCCAAATGTGCCATACTTTATTATTTTATGTTGTCTAATGCCAGACAATTTCACTCATCAAGGAGAGAATGCTGCTGTTCAATGGATTAATTAACTGAGAATGTCTTAACATCCTAATAATTTTCACACATACTCGTTGGGTTTAATGCCTCCTCTCTTGACTTCCAGTAAACCTTCCATAACACTTTGTTCGGTGACGTTCGTTAACTGGTCACCTGAAAATATCAAAAATATTCATGGAGTACCTAGAACTGAAGTACCGTACCTAGAGAAAATCTTCGGTAGAGTCAAACTGGATTAAATCTTTGGTAGAGGTAAAATTATAGACAACTGCGCATACAGGCTTCAATATAATTCTAAAAAATTGGTCTCACATTATGTCAACCCATTACACATGTTTTGGTCAGACATGTTCAGACACTAATCATTTATAGAACTCAAGAGGAATGCTTATATATGTATTGGTCTAGATTGCCAGTCACACCTCACCTTTCTGACAAAAAACAGATTTATTTTTGTTTGGCAAAAAATTGCTTTGTTTTGGATTTAGTAAGAATAAGAATGTCTCTTGGGTGAGGAAACATTTGTTTGGAATGGTAAGAGCAACGTCAAGACTTTTCACATCCAAATTGAGTCACTTGACTATAGTAACATAAAATTACTCAAATTCATAAGGTAAAACGGTCCATCATAATGTCTGCACGGAACAATCAGTAGATAGCCATATCGACGTTTTGCTCAGACAATGGCCGAACGTTATATTGAACTTTGGACATGTTGCAGAAATCAAACCATTGTCACAGAAAGACACATGAACAAATCAATGTTAGACCAGCATCTCCAATGCACGAGTAGGGTGTACATACATATAGAAGACTTTTAAAACATTCAAATATTTACCATTCTTGAGATATAAACATCCATAATGCTTATTGGAACCAGGAGCATTATATTCAACTGAGTAAAATACTTCTTTTCCAATTAATTGTTTTCTCAATAACTCCCTGCTCTCCCAGGCACATGGCTAAAAACAAATATGTTCAGTTGACAAAATATAAATAAGAAACACTGAAAAAAAATTGTTCCACAAATTATCCACATTCCCCCTATGGACAAAATTTCTGCCGTCCATAGGGGAAGGGGTTTTTAATAGGAAATGTACCAGTAAATAGGAAATGTACTGTAAAAATCTGAAAAAACCTTCAATAAATTAAACTTTCCAATCAAGTATATCAATGTCAAATTTCACGATTGGAATACCAGAGGGACCTGTATCTCGTTACCAATGACTTAAATATATAAAGGTCTTTCATACCATCTAATATAACTTTACGATCTCTCAATAACGATATCATAAACGGCCCTAAAGCCAATATCTCAATCCCAAAACAAGGCTCTACAGCCAAAGCAAAGTACTTTCCAGAAGGATATATTGGGTAGCACACACTTACGTTGGTTGCTATGCAATTTACATTTTCAGATTACGCTAGTTACCGCTGTTCTAACTTCTGGACATAGACCGAAGACAACCAAGAAATTTGGACGTCAATAGGGAAGCTAACATTGTTTCGTGAAACAATAACAAAACTATCCAAGCACTTAGTTTAATATTTGTTATAATAAATTTTGTATAAATACCAATACAAAATTATTTTTTATGTTAGAACTTATTGGGATTAAAATTTCATATGAAGTGAAAATTTTTAAAATTTATTTACTATTGAATAAATTTCTTAAAACTCTTTAATTTGACCGAATTTTTCCATACTATTTTGTCCATATTTTATATATTTACATTAGGTCACAAAAATATTCGATTTTCTGTGGAACTCTACGTTCTGCAACCTGATTGGCTAATTAGAACGACGAGAACGCACGTTGTATAGATTTATTGTTCTTTTTAAGCTACCATTTACGAAAATACACACATTTAAGCCCCTATTTAAACCTTTTCTCCTACAGCAAATAACTGTATATAACCCTCAACATTCAGCAGGATAACTAGCCTTTATCCTGGCAAAATTTGAGTGTAGATACTTGAGAAATCACGGCAATATATAACGTACAACAGTACCTCATCACGGCTTTCGACTGAAATTGCCGCAGTTGGTCTTCGACATAACTTTGGCGCAGTAACATTTGAGAGGCCGAGATTTTTTTCGGGGGGAGGACCGCCTCTTGGCTGTTCCCTGATAATAATACTATCTCCAGAGAGAACCTAAAATACAAAAAATTCGATCAGAACTATACGTATCCCGATCCCATATAGGAAATACCAAAACACAACAAAGGTTTACAACCTTATAAAATAAACGAAACGACCGCCGATTGCGTTATAAAGTTACAGATTCACTCGTTTCTTACCTGTTTAACAATTCCTCGGTGTAAAGCCGGGGCTGGTTGAGCCATTATTTGCAATTTTCTTTCACAACAAAGTTAGAAACGTGAAATCTCGTGAAATTATGTAGAAATCACAATCACTGAATTCAAGTAGTCTGTGACGTACCCATTTAATTTACTTCCGGTACCGTGGGCACGCAACCGAGTGTCTGGTAATCCACCGAGGCCTTAGCGCGAGTGGTGTTACTTTATTATGCCACATAAAATAAATTCCTTGATTCTCATCACTACATTTTGAAAATTTCGAAGAGGCGGGAGGTTTATATTTTATATACGGGCCTCGCCAAAAAATTCGTACAGGATTTCCAGAGGTCTCAAATCTGGTACCCTTCATAGCCACAGACCACCGTGGCTAAAAAGTATATCGAAATATAGTATGCTTTTTAGCCACAGACCACCGTGGCTAAAAGTATAGTGAAATCTGATATACTTTTTAGCCACAGACTTCCGTGGCCAAAAAGTATACTGAAATCTGGTATACTTTTGAGCCACAGGCCGCCGTGGCTAAAAAGTATAGTGAAATCTGATATACTTTTTAGCCACAGACTTCTGCATGGCTAAAAAGTATACTGAAATATGGTATACTTCTTAGCCACGGACTGCCGTGGCTAAAAAGTATACTGAAATCTGGTATACTTTTTAGCCACAGGCCGCCGTGGCTAAAGGTATGGTGCAATCTGGTATACTTTTTAGCCACAGACTTCCATGGCTAAAAAGTATACTGAAATCTGGTATACTTTTTAGCCACAGGCCGCCGTGGCTAAAAAGTATAGTGAAATCTGATATACATTTTAGCCACAGACTTCTGTGGCTAAAAGTATGGTGCAATCTGGTATACTTTTTAGCCACAGACTGCCGTGGCCAAAAAGTATACTGAAATATGGTATACTTTTTAGCCGCAGACTTCCTTGGCTAAAAAGTATACTGAAATCTGGTATACTTTTTAGCCACAGGCCGCCGTGGCTAAAACGTATACTGAAATATAGTATACTTTTTAGCCACAGACTTC